TGATATTCCAAGCATAGTTCTTTCGATTCCTCTTTGTGAGACCCGAATAGTGTTCTCATCCTGTTTTCGTAGGGTCCAGGTTTCTGAGGCATATGTTAATGCAGGAAGAATAGTGGAATCAAAGAGATGTGCTCGTAGCTGGAGGTTCTTTGGCCTTTTAGTTATTTCTTCAATGCTCTTGAAGGCATTCCAAGCCGCTCTCTTCCTCCTGCGCAACTCAGGTGCCAGGTCATTCATCATGTTGATTTCTCGACCTAGGTATATAAAACTGTTGCATTCGGAGATGGTGGTTCTGTTGAGAGCGAATGGAGCGTCAGGAACAAGGCTGTTTCTCATAAACATTGTCTTCGTAAGATTCAGCTGTAGTCCGACCTTTCCACATTCACGGTCAAAGTCGTTCAGCATTTGTGCCGCTTGGTTGATGTTTGGTGTTATTAGAACGATGTCATCAGCAAAGCGGAGGTGGTGTAGTTGCCGACCATCTATCTTCACTCCCATGTTTTCCCATTCCAGTCGTCGCATGATGTTCTCAAGGGTGGCACTGAAGAGTTTTGGTGAAATGGTATCACCCTGACGAACCCCTCTCTTGATATGGATGATTACTTCTTTGTAGAATGGTGAGATCTTGGTAGCGAATCCGCAATAGAGCTCACGAAGGATCCTGATGAGTTTGTACGCCCTGATTGGCTAGGGCTTCCATGACGGCTTCCGTCTAAACAGAATCAAAGGCCTTCTTTAAATCAATGAATGTTAGACAGAGCGGCATCTTGAACTCCCAAGATGCCTCAATGAGCTTGGTTATTGTGTGGATATGGTCGATGGTACTGAATCCTTTTCGGAATCCAGCTTGTTCACATGGTTGTCCTTCATCTAGTGTTCTGCTAATCCTATTCAGGATGACTCGAGTGAATAGTTTGTAGATGACAGACAATAGGCAGATTGGGCGATAGTTGCCAATGTCATGGATGTCTCCTTTCTTGTATAGTAGTACATTCCTGCTGGTTTTCCATTGGGATGGAACCTTGCATTCAGACAGGTAGCGTGTGAAGAGTCGAGCCAATGTATTGATGAGTACTGATGGTAAGTTCTTCAGGTGTTCAGGCCTGGTCTTGTCTGGGCCAGGTGCTCTTTGTTTCTTTACCGACGAGATGGCATGTTGGATTTCGGAAGGGAGAACATTGGGAACGACATCCATCATGTGGTATGTGGTATGTGGGCAAGTGGATGTGGCTATTAAAGAGATCTGAGTAGAAGTCATGAATAATCTTCTCCATTGCCCTTCTGGAAGATGTGATAGATCCATCATGATGTCGGAGGGCAGTCATCTTGGTTTTGTAGTTGGTGAAGGACAGGCGGGCATTACAAATGTTTTTCCCAGCTTCTGCTGCATCTACCAGTACTGCTGCTCTCCTGTTTTTGAGGTCATCCTTGATGGCTTCTCTGCATTGTTTTGCCAGTTCGGACGTTCGCTTATGGTTGCCTGAGGCACGTGCCAAGCCACGTTGGCGAATAAGTTCAAGAGTGTTCGAAGAAAGACGGTTTTTTGTGGTTATCTCTCTCTTGGCATTCCTTGCACAATCATGGAGGTGTTGAATCATTCGATCGTATTCCTCATCAATGTTGTCAATGACGGCATCTTCCCATGTTGCCGCAATAGAGCCAAAGAGCTCCCAGTTGGTGGTTGTTCTGGGAGTCCTCTTCTTAAACCTTGCATTCTTTTCTCCTCGTTCTGTGAGGTAGAATTTTGCACGATGAAGATGGTGGTCTGATCCCGTTTGGAATTTTGGGACAACAGCAACATCGGTTAGGCAAAACCGCCGATTGAATATGATGTGGTCTATTTCATTGTGGAACCGTCCATCGGGAGACTCCCATGTCCAACATTTAGATTCAGCCTTTTGGAATTGTGAGTTACCATGGAAGGTTTTGGTTGACATGATGAACTCAGACAGTCTGTCACCCTGTTTGTTCCATTCCAGGCCATGGGTTCCTTTGTGGAGTTCATCGACTGATCTTCTTGGTCCTATCTTGGCATTAACATCACCGACAATGATCTTGTAGAAGGTGTGATCTTCTTTATAGAACTTCTCCAGCTCCATGTAGAATTTCTCAGTTTCTCTTTCACCATAACTGGATGTTGGTGCATAGACAACAAAGATAGAAACTGCCGGTAGTGAGCCACATTTATTCAAGTGTAATCGTCCGATTCGGGTTGTTAGGCATTCAAATGAATCAATGCTCGTGACTAAGTTTGTGTTGACAAGGATACCGACACCACCGACGCCTCTTTTATCACATGTTCCAAGGAACAGTTCTTCTCCAGTGTCGAAAACAGCATGATGGGATTGATGTCTTCTCGTTTCGGTCAGACCAATGATGTTGTACTTGATCTTTCGTGCTTGTACCATAAGGTCTTCAATGGATGCAGCAGATGCCAGCATACGAGCATTAAAAGTACAGACAATCATTTTTGTTTTTCTGCGTTTTGGCAGTCTATGTCTGCCTTGGTGTTTTATCAGCCTCTCCTTCCATATCCTTCTCGACTCTGCATATTCAGGGTTAGGGAAATGAGATCCATTTATTACTGGATTTGGCATATCAATTTGGTCTATTTGGCATAGACTACGGATAGCTTGCCAGGCTCTGCCGTGCGGGTTGGATATTTAAGGATATTTAAGGTACCCTGAAAACTTAGAGAAAAGTAAATAAATAGTCGCACGGCCGCGAATGCCTCGCGCGCTCCCGGGAGCTTGTTGTGATAATCTCTGGATCCTGGCCATTGTTGGGGTTACACGGCAGTTGGAGGGTGTAATTGTCTAGCTACTGACAGGTCCAGTAGTAATTCTAACATCAAATTATTAAATTACTATGAGTGAAAAGGGAATCTATGATTCTTCTGCTGTTATGACTGTCTGAAGTATATAATATTGTAAAAATAAAGATTTTAGCATACCTCCATGCCTTTCACTTCTCCTTCATTATTTATTTATATAAATAAATTTGTCGAACAAATTGGGTTGTTGAATTAGTGGGTATTTTATAACAGCGTTGAATAGAGGCCATCTTAAGTTTTTGCTGGGAATTCGTTTGCAGTAAATTTTATATTGTAAGTGTACTCCATATTATTTCTAAGACTTTGTTTCCTGGTACACATAATTAATTTAAGGTTGCTAAATCTGACACTTGATTTTAGCCAAAAGGGTGAGAAGCGGTGAAATTGCTAAATTCTAATCTTGCATAATAAAATTTTTGAAAACCCACATTTATTCAGTAAGTAGAATAAAATTATTTATATGCCTTTAGGTTTGTATTCCTAATGTTCAGTTTTCTTTCATATTGTGCACATGTAATTACCGAACAATTTACAGTTTACATTTACAGTTTTTTTTTTTTGTTACTGGAAAATAAAGCTTTCAGAATTAGGTTTGTACCACAGCTATAATCAGCATTCGTGGTTCTCAACTAAAGTAGCCATATGTGAATTTTCTCTAATCACTGATTAACATAGTATTCTTTTCTGCTTTGGCTTATTGTTATAATAAAACAGGTTGAACATGGCTTAGGAATAAGTGGAAGATTCTATTTGGTTTTCATTTAAGTTGGAATTTCTTTGCATTTTCAAAGTTCTGAAGCTCATTTTTATCAGGCCCTGTTATATAGATTTTGCATAATTCATACTATTTTATTATCTAATGTAATCCTATATTGATTAAAAGATTATACTTCTTGTAGTATTTCATTAGAAAAATGAAAATAGTTCATTTGCTAGTTTCTTAGGTATAATTCCTAGGTCAGCTGTTTGTCCTATTGATCCTTTTGTCATGCTTCTGTAATTATACTTCCAGTATGGCAGCCAGTACCAGATCTGGTATTGGGCAGGGTCTGACATGTAAGTGCAAACTATACTCTGACTTTTTAAGATTTGCTACAAAAAAAAAGAGTGTACCATTTTACAGTAATTTTAGTATTGATTGCATGCTGGACTTGATACATTTTAGTTATATTAGTTAGAATGTTGTAATCAGATCAGTTTACCTATTTTAGTTTTAATGTGGGTCATAGTAAATTTGTGTTATTGGTTTTGCGGCTCCATCCAGCAGTGCTCAGGGTTTACTTTGACTGTATAGGGAACCAGACGTAGTTCCTGGGATTGAACCAGAATTTACTGCATGCAAGGCAAGCACCTTACCCATTGTACTCTCTCCGGCCCGACAAGTAAACTCAAACTAAATTTGTGTCTTTCATGTCTGCTGAACAATGCTTTCCTAGAGTATATTTTTTATAAAGATCATAAGAACTTTAATTTTAGAAAAGTATTTTATTTCTTGCCCATGTTCAAGGTTAGAAAGTATAATAAAGCTACTTAGATGTTCTGAGAGTTAATGACATTTATTTTATGTAACATAAGATATATGTGCATGTGTGTATGTGTATAAAACTGAAGCATAAACTTGAAAAGGAAACATTGTGGCCTTTAGAAAATGCTGTAAATATACCTTAATCCTAATGCTACTTAAAAATTACATACTTGTGATCTAAATTTATACCATGCCAAATAGGTTTCTGTTAATATATTGGCTTCAAAATCACTGAGAAATTGTATACTTAGTGGTTCCCAAACTGAGCAAAGAAATCCCAAGAAAATATCTTCTGTCTCTTATATATATAAAATTGTCTTTTGTGAAAGGATGAAGGAAAAATTTCATCATTGATATAAATTCCTGTAGCAGAGAAATTCTTTAAGGTCCTAGATGATGCCAATGAGAATAATCTTTTTAAATAATCTTTCAAAAATTGTTTCTTATCCCCATCCCACTCCCATTTCCATGGTTATTTGTTTTGTTTGTTTGATTTTATCCAAAAGGAAATATTTAGTGCCCTGTCTAGTTTTATTTTCTACTTAATCACTAGCTATGGAATAACACTGTTGTATTTGTATTTGGAATTGTAAGGTACATTTCTTTTTTCTTTTCTTTTTAATTTGACTCTTTGTTTTACAGATGAGGGCAGAAGTGCAGTTGACCAAGCAGGTGGTGCACAGATTGTAATTGACCATTTAAGGTCACTGTGCAGTAGGACAGATCCCGCCAATGAGAAGCTCTTGACTGTCTTTTGTGGCATGCTGATGAACTATAGCAATGAGAATGGTAAACAAAATTGAAAACTTGCTTTATCTCTGGGGGAATTTTTAAAAATCATCATTTCTAGTGCAAAGTAAAAATTTTAGAAAATTATGAGCAAAAAAATCTATAAGTGGAATATAAAAGTAACCAACATAGAATTTCAATGTATCAAAAATAAAAAGTAGTCTAATTTGCTAAATGAGACTCATTTTTGAAGAGTTCCCATGTTAATATCAAAAATAAAAACTAATGGTATAATTTAATATTTCTTGGTAAGAACATTTAAAAATAAATATTAAAACAGATTTATGTCTGTTTTCTTATATTAATATTAGAAAGTAGCTTTAAAATGTAAACATTGTATAAATGAAATAATTCTGTGTGCATAGTATATTTATTTGTAGGGTTTAAAAATTCTTCAATATAATTTGAACTTTAAAAAAGTAAAGGACTAACGTTTTTAGAAATTTAACAAATACTTGTAAACAGAAGTGTCTTTTCTCTGTAAAACATTCTTAGAACTTTACAACAAATGACATGCAATTTTTTAATAACCTATATTGTTAATTATTGAACATAAAACCAGTGATGTGAAGACTTTTCTATACTCTTAGATAATACCCACATATTTAGTGTATTAATTACTACATGGACCAAACCTTACGTTCCGGTTGATTCCTTTAGTGTAACTCAAGTTTGGTTTCTTTCATAATGATAATTTTAGTGATAGTCTTTGACAGAGCTTTGAATTTTTGGGGTTTTCTTGTTTGGCTATGTAGTTTTTGGGGGGTTGTTTGTTTTGGGGCCACACCTAGGAGTCCTCATGGCTTACTTCTGACTCTGCCCAGGGATCACTCCTGGCAGTATTGAAGGGACTTCTGGGGTGTTCGGGTTTGACCTCAGGTTGGTCATATGCAGGGCAAGAGCCTTACCCACTGTACTATCTCTCTGACCGCTAATATGCATAGTATATTATATATATGTGTATATATATATATGTAGTGTGTGCGTGTGCGTGCGCCCGCACGTGCACTCGTTAAAGGACATGAGCCTTTAAGCATAGTTGTCAGTGATGTTTTGGTAGTTGTGGGCCCAAAGATGTATTCTCAGTGATAAAGAGAAGGAGGGGAGGAGGAAGCAAGGGAGGGAGGGAGGGAGAGGAGAGAGAGACACCCAGAGAGAGAAGAGAAGAGAGCAGTGACTCCTTAGGTTACTTTTGTATTAGTGACAGCAAATCAGCCAGTGTTGGGGACCGGGCCAAATTCAAGAACTGTAGAAATGACACAGCCATTGCTCGCTACTCGTCGATTATTTTTGGTTATTTGACCAGTTACAATCGTATTATTTGGGGTTGGAGAGATGCTGAACATTTAGGTTTTTAATATGCTTTTTAAAATCGTTATTTAATATCCACCTTTTTTTTTTTCAGTCACACCCTGCTGTCTCAGGGTTTACTCCAGGCTCTGTACTCAGGGATCACTCCTGGTGGGGCTTAAGGGACCACATGAGGTGCTGGGTCTTGAACCCTGGTTGGCTACATGTATGTTACTACCTGCTGAACTCTCTGACAGTAACATTTGCCTTGTAGCCTGATACAAGTTCGTTACGCTATGTCCTCAGGCCAAAGGCCATCAGTATTATCTATAATGAAGTGGTTATAGTTATCAGAATATTTTTTTGTAGCTATATTGAGAGGGGCCAAACCTACTGTGGGTAACTGCAGTGGGATAGTGACAAGTGCCTGAGCTTTCACACAGCTTCACACGTGTAAGAGTTATGTGTTCCACCTCAAGCTGCTTCTCCCAGCCTAGGATACTCTTCTTAGGATCTTTCAACTCTTCTTGACCTCTGATGGGATTATTTTAGAAGACAAAACGTCCTAATCCTGGGATTATTTTAGAGGAGAAAATATCCTAATCATCAACAGGAGAAACACAGGATAAAATCTAGGTAAACTGCAAATGAATTGATCTCTTTTGTAAGAGTTCAAATATGATCACTATATATTGGTATCTTAATTGAAGTAGGAAATCATTTTGCTTTTGTCTTTATCTTCACTTAAGTTTATTAAAATGTAAGAAAGTGAAACAACAGTTTCACTTATATTTTATATCACTATATTTTATATTTATATCACTATATTTTAGAAAGTTAAAGACAGTAAGTTATGACATTGTAGCATCTTTGGATATAAAAATTAGAAATCAGTTATTAAAAAATTATGTAAACACATCAAAACCTATCTAGGTTGTACAAAAAGCATGATGAATGGCCAAAAGGACTCAAAAAGCCTACTTCTGATTCAAAGGAAATTATGATTGAGTCTCTATCATAGGACTCAGATCTATCATAGGACTCAGATTAATAGAATTAACATATTAGTGTCTTAAAGAAACAAATGCCAGAGTACAGAAAATTCTTTCCTTTTTCATTTATATTTCTCTTTCCTAGGAATCGTAATTTGTGAAGTGGTTCTTTGTCTCAGCATTCCCTGTAATGCTATTTAACTTAAATTATATTCTTTTGTGTTTGTTTTGTGTAATTATTATGCACCATTTACATAGAATTTTATTACCTTTTTGTCTTTTAGATTTGTTTTTTGTCTTTTAGATTTGTTTAAATGCAACTATTCCATCTTAAATATTCGGTCTCCTTCACTACGTTGATGATTTGGTATTAATCTTGTGCAATTTAGATGAGTCATGGAGAAAAAAATTAAACTTCTAAAACATAGAAGATACATTATTACTATCACTAATAAATCATGTTCCTGTTAATGTGTTTTTACCATTGAAATTCACTGTATGAGACTTAGTCTTTGAGGGCTGGAGTGATAACACAATGGGTAGAGTAGTTGCCTTGCACCCAGCTGACCCAGGTTCAATTCCCAGCATCCCATATGGTCCCCTGAGCACTGCCAGGGATGATTCCTAAGTGCAGAGCCAGGAGTGACACCTGAACATTGCCAGGTGTGACCCAAAAAGGAAAAAAAAAAACAAAATACTTAATCTTTGAGTAGAAAAGTTGAACTGATGCATGTTATACCAATAGAAAAATTCTACCCCTAGAATCAATAACTTTATCTGTCTATAGTTCTTTTTTCATTTTCTAGATTTTTTAAAATATAAAATGTTTACAAAAACCCAGTATCTTAATTATTCTGACATTAACATTTTTAAATGGTATCTAAATTCTTAAAGTGGGTTGACACCACGCAGAAATTCAATTATGTTTTGTTTCTTGATATGGTGGATTACTCTGAACGTGTTCAATTTGTGTGTGTGTGTGTGTGTGTGTGTGTGTGTGTGTGTGTGTGTGTAAGGGCAGGAGGGTTGGAGGGCTGGGGCCAGTGGTACTTAGGAGTGACCACTGACCACATTGTGCTGGTGATTTGACCATGAAGCTGACAAGCTACATGCAAGGCAAGCAACTTAACTTCTTGTACTGTCTCTCTGGCCCAAAATAATTTATTTTTGTCCAGAGCTACTTTTGGCTTTGTGCTTAGGGTTCACACCTGACGATGATTGGGGAACCATATATGGTACTGGGATTTGAACTAGGGTTGCTGCTGCTGCCACATGCTAGACAAGCACCTCAGTCTTTTTAGTCCAATGTTCAATTTTAAAATCCATTAGAATAAAATAGGCTTTCTAAATGTATATTAGTAGGGTATGTTATAAAAACGCTTAGCAAAGGTATTTTTGTACCATTTGATGGAGTTGTAGAAGACTCAAGATTTAAGAGATATCAAGGTATTTGTTCAGTTCAAGACTATACATACTTATAGACTGAAAATTATATAATATTTTTAGTTTCTCCTTGCATACACTTCATTTTTTTAAAAAATTTTTATTAGTGAAACACCACGAGGTACAGTTGTAGACTTACAAATTATTGTGCTTGGGTTTCAGTTACACAATTATCGAATACCCATCCCTCCACCAGTGCCCATTCTCCACCACTACTGATCCCAGTATCCCTCCAACGCCCCATCTTCCCCATCCCACTCTGCCTCTGTGGCAGGGCATTCACTTTTGTTCTCTCCTTTTGGGTGCTGTGGTTTGCAAAAGAGGCATTGAGTGGCATTCATGTTTGGTCTATAGTCTGCTTTCAGAATGCATCTTCCATCCTGGGAGGATCGTCGTAACACCCTTTATTTGGTGTTCCCTTCTCTAACTGAGCTGCCTTTTCCCCTAGCGTGTGCGGCTGGCCTCCAAGCCATGGAGTAAACCTCCTGGTACTTACCTCGGCTATTCTTGGGTGTTAGTCTCCTATTTTGTTACTTTATGTTCCCTAGATGAATGAAATCTTCCTATGTCTGTACTTCTCTGACTCATTTTGTTTAGCATGATACTTTCCATGTAGCACTACTTGTATGTAAATTTCATGACTTTATCTTTTCTAACAGCTACATAGTACTCCATTGTGTAGATGTACCAAAGTTTCTTTAACCGGTCATCTCTTCTCAGACACTCAGGATTTTTCCAGATTCTAGCTATTGTAAACAGTGCTGCAATGAACAAACAGGTGCAGATGTCACTTTGGCTATACTTTTTTTGCCTCTCTGGCATATATTCCCAGGAGTGGTATTGCTGGGTTAAACGGGAGCTCAGTTTCTAATTTTTTGAGAATTGTCCATACTGTTTTCCAAACAGGCTGAAGCAGTCTGCGTTCCCACCAGCAGTGAAGGAGAGTCCCTTTCTTGCCACATCTGCGGCAACACTGGTTGCTTTTCTTCTTTCGGATGTGGACCAGTCTCTGTGGTGTGAAATGATATCTCATTGTTGTTTTGATCTGCATCTCCCTGATGATTAATGATATAGAGCATTTTCTCATGTGTCTTTTAGCCATTCGGATTTCTTCTTTGAGAAAGTTTCTGTCATTTTGTCGCCCCATTTTTTGATGGGGTTGGATGTTTTCTTCTTGTGGATCAACCAGTACTTTGTATATCCTTGATATCAACCCCTTGTTGGATGGGCTTACACTTCATTTTAAATGGAATATATCTAGGGGCTGGAGATAGA